ACGGTCTCAGTTTACGCGAGTATGCTCAAATTGGCGCCACACCAAGCAATCTCTGAAGCGATTACGAAGAAGCTCGCCCTTAACGATTTCGTTTCCACGGCTCTCCGATGCGTGTTATCCGGTTGAAATAGTTGAAACGAGGCCGCCACTGGGATCACGTATTTTTCTAATTATATATGGAATACGTACCTACGATTCGTTTCAAAACAAATAACAGTTTCGCAACCTTTGACTGTTCCATCGTGCCCGGCACATCCACGCTCGCAATTTTCTACCGGGGCAATTTGAGAAGCGGAATAGAAACTTAACGAAGTTGTTACGCGAAACTGGATGCCGTGAAACAGTCTTGCGCATTTCCCGACGTTGCAAGTTATCAGCCTCCGGTCTCGAGTTAGAAATAAACGTTTCCAAATTAAAATTTCACCATTCGTCCAAAATCTCAATAATAAATAATAAATAATTAATTTAAAATTTTGAGTACAGACACTGGGAAAAAAATTTTTCTAATAAAAGTTCGAAGCGAAATATCTCAAGAGCTTTATTTTAAACATTGCCAGGGTTAAAATTTAACCACCCGCGTCCGTCTTCTCGTCATCTCGGGGGCGTCGGGAAGCCTCGATTCGGCCCTGGACCGTGGCCAGCAGCGATTCTAATTCACAATCCCCCGCGAGCCTGGTTTTTACGCTCCGGAACGAGCAATATTTCGCGGATATCGTTTCACCCTGCGCGGATAGTTTCCAGGTCACTTGGCAGCGTCCAGGGACCGGGCGTAGAGGAATAGAGAAGCCCCCGGATGCCTAGCCCAACGAGAGCACCGCGCGTCTCACCAACATCCGGAGTATCTAAAACGAAAATTTATCACGGTTATAACTCACGCGAATTCGTGGCGAAATTTTTTCCACCGTGGTTTCTGCATAGTTCTGGTACGCATCGCGGGGCCCCGGCGCTCAGATTGATCCTCTTCTTGTTCCTCGGTTTGCTCGATTTTACGGCGAGAGTCGAGTTATGTGGCGGTCGGCCAGATTCTCGAGTGCTCGTGGTCATGGGGTGTTATAAATGTGGTATTCGTTTAGTGTCTCCGTTCTCATCACCTAATAGCAATAAGCTCCACGGATCATAGGTGCCGGCAGTGTTAATATCGCGTTCGCGTTGAATCGCTCGTTAACGTTTCCCCCTTCTGTTGTCTCGATGGTGGACGGCGAACGGCGTCGATGGTAGTCGTCGGTTAATTGCCGCCGCGTACGACTCCGCTATCGGCGTCGTCCGTCGTTGGTAATTAGCGTGATGTAATCTAAGAAAGATACCCGCGACGAGGAATCACAATGGCGTCGCGCGCCCGCGAAATAATTAGCGGGAAAATCAATCGGCCGCCCCCGAGGGAGGGTGGGAGAGTCTAATTGCCCGGTCCGCTAATGGGGACAACGGTTCGTTACGCGCGGAGGGGTAATTAAGCGGCACCGAGCGGTGTCCGGCCCTCGAGATTTCGACTCCTCGCATGAACGATAAATCTCGACTGGGGGGCTCGCTCGTTTCGTTTTGCCAGACGTTCAACCGATGTTACGTCAGTTTTGATTAAGCGCGGCTTAATCGTTTCTGGATGAACCGCTGAGACACGCTATTAATACTATCGTTTGATATAAATGTTCAGCACGGGGTACACTCTAGTCCCGTAAAACGCACGAGCAATGAAACGACGGGCAAACATTCGGATACGATGACAAATGTGTATCAACGATAAATTGTCTATAGCGTTTGGGCCGATTCCGAGACGTAACAGCTGATACGATAGTTCCTGGAAATTTTTGGAGTAAGCCAGTGGAGGTCTATTGATACGACTATGTTAATTTTTTATTATTCGTTGATGTCTAAAATTTGGCAAGTACACGGCTTCTATATCATCGTCTATAAAAATTTGAATATTTCGTATTTACTGAAAACCATAGAAATAACTAGTAATACAATTTATAATTGGAAAGAGGAAATTATTAAGACATAATTTACATATGATAGAGACTACGCAAAAAAATAAATAATAAAGTAGTATTGGTTCGAGATACCGAGTGGTGGGGATCATTTGAATTTAAGCGTATCTGAATTGCTGACTATAATGGCCACGAAATTTTCCTCGGTGCTTACGTCTAAGATTCGGCAAGCGAAAGAATTTATTTGCGAGACCTCTTGCCAGTTATCCTGTCGAGGGGAACTCCTCCATTTTTTATTGCCTCGGTTAGGCAGTGCAGATCCCCAAAGCGCGATAGCATTCAATAAAAGTAACGTCGGGACCGAAACAGAAGGGGATCGGGGACTCTCGTTGTCAGACCTGGATCCTCGTCTCCTGGTTAATAATAAGTCGATTCTTTAAAAACTAAAATCGTGAAGTTTCTTTCTCCTTTCATTATTAACGTTTGAATTCGACAATTAGTTCACAGAAATCTCGTATATGAATTCTCATTACTTTACGTGAAACCCTCTTCAAGTAGACATAAATGTCCACTATAATAGGGAAACACGAAATCGTAAACATCGATACAGTATTAGAAATTAATAGAAATATAGAATAAAGCTGATGAGAAGTGAAAAAATTATATTCTTATAGTCGCTCGCACCCTTTCATAAATTTCACACTTTTGATCGTCTTTATTTTAGATTTTTATTAGTTTTTATCTGGCTCTAGAGGCGTGTTCGAAAGGAAACTCTCAGCGATAATCCTTCAGCGAATCTAGGACAAAAGCTACGGTTTTATCGGTCCGAATAACCAATAAAATTCATAGTTATTTATTTAGTACGTGTCTACCTTGAATCCTATCTTCAAATCCTATTACTCACGGACGTTTTAAAACGTCACAAAGTGATAAATTCTTTACTACATGTATGTTTATCGCAAAATAATTTCTACGCTATAAACTCTTGGGTCATAAGAAAACCAGCTATCGTTCGACATAGGCAAATATAATAATACGACGAGGCGCGCGGGAACGATTACGTAATTTGTATTTGTCCACTGCAAGTTTTTAATTTATTTTAAAACGAATCTATTTATCAATCGTATCACTTATAGTATGTATACAGTATGTATACGAATGCGTGATAAATAGAACGTTACTAGTTTATTGTATTCTATATTCACATTTGAATAGTTTCTTTGCATCATTACGTAATATTTTGGGCTTAAATTTTACGTTTAAAATTTTATGTCCGAGCGTATTTTAACCATTCGTCACTTTGTAAATGAGATACGTTCGTTGAAATCGCATGTTACAGGTATCCGCAGACCTTGCAATTATCTGCAAGTTTATTGTGCAGATAACATGGCGGACTGCCAGCCAGCGAATATTTTGCAAGCTGTTAATTGCTCTTGCAACGATCGCGCAGACATAGGCGGCATAGTTTTCATCGCGTGTACGTTGCGTCGATAGAAGACCAGAAATTTATATCAAAGGGTAATTACGGAGAGCTCGCGGTCTCTTCCTCGTTTCTATACGCTATTAAGCCTTCGTTAAATTCTATACAAAATACGCTAACGTATTAATTAAGGTCTCGTTAATCCCGGCCGGTAGCGGACGGGCAATGTTTACGAACAACAAAGAGATGCCAATCCGTGCTACGAGGTGCATATAAACGTAAGTCGCGTTAAAAAGTATCACAAGATTGACAAAGTTTGATGAAAATCCAGCAACATGTATAGCAGGTATGAAACAATCACTTCTACATTCACGTTTGACATACAAAGTTGTGGACATTCGATAATGTTTACACTGGTAGAAAGTGCAATTCGCAAACAGATAGAGGAAGAAAAAATGATCAAAGAATAAAAATTTACGATCTTGGATCTAGAAGACAATTTTCGGAATTAAAGTACTGGACATGAGTATTCGCACAGCATGGTTATTGTGGTACAAATGTTTATAACTACTAAACAAATTGATCAGTTATAAGCATTTGTACTACAACGACCATGCTGTGCCAATACTTAATTTCCAGCACTTTGTATATTTTATATTTATAGAAAACAGTATATTTTCTTCCTTTAACATTTTTTCGTATTCTCAAGAACAAAGGAAATATCGATGGTGGTCAAGTTAAATGGGGTATACCCAGTTTTCTGCACTTGTTCAGCTGTTTCAAGGGTTATAACTTTCGAACTATTAGGTTCAGGGCCTAACTATTTAGATACTTTTCCGTAGAGATTACAAAATTGCATCAAACAGTCCAACAAAAATTATAGAGTTCCGTTCAAAAAAAGGAAGAGGTTGCATTCTTTGGATGCATTGTTCGATGTCGTTTAATTTTTCCTAATTATTACATTTCGTCTTACCTTGAACCGTTTCGGAGATATAGTGTTCCTCAGCGGCGTGGGGGGTGAGTGCAACGAATTTAAAAGAAATAAATAAAATAAAATGAATCGTAGGAAGTTCAATATGATGGTCTTCATCAAATCATTTATTTTATAGAGTTCCATTCAAAAAAAGGAAGAGGTTGCATTCTTTGGTTGCATTGTTCGATGTCGTTTAATTTTTCCTAATTACATTTCGTCGTACCTTTAACCGTTTCGGTGATATAGTGAGTGCTACGAATTTAAAAGAAATAAATAAAATAAAATGAATCGTAGGAAGTCCAAAATGGTGGACTTCATCAAATCATTTATTTTCTCGCTAATTGTCATTCAACTGATAACAACTTCCGTGAACGTGGAACGCGACGAAATAATAACAAGCTTCGATTCGAGCTTCCTCCTCCCCTTCTGGTGGCCCCGCCCCTTCGCCAACTTTTCCCCGAAAATCATGGGAAAAATAGGGACCCGCGAAAACTGCGTCGGAGTATCAATCGAGCTCCGTTTCCACAACCGCCACCTGTGTGTTCGTGTGTACACAAAAGGGCCAGGGTGGCGTATGTGGAAGCGTGCGCGCGCGCGCGCGCTCGACTGTATGAAACCTGCGCGCCACGAGGTAAAGCCGCCAGTGCTATTCGTCGCCGCAGTGCGATACGGTCGATAGAATAAAACGTGGCCGACAGTCTCCGGTGGTTACAGCTGCCGCAGACACCGTCGCGACGTCTCGTTCCCTCCACGTCGTTGCCGTTTGTCGTCGTTCCGGCCCGTTAGAAAATTTCCCGGAATCGTTCCTACGTCCCGACGCGCCGTCCATTCCTAACCCTCGAACCGGAGGGGTGGCCCTCGCGCGATTCTCGTTTCGCTCGGAGAGAGAGAGAGAGAGAGAGAGAGCGCGCGCGCGCGCGCGCGGCGTCGTCGTCATGTCACTGAAACGAGGATGTTTGTGACATTACGAGGTAAAAAAGGTGATCCGGTGTTTCGCGAGGTTATGTCGAGGATAGGGGTGACTTCACCCCTTGGAACGCTCGAGGATCTCGATTTCTGAATGATTTCTTTTCTTTACGATCGTATTTTTATTGGGAGTAAAGTTACGTAAATCGACGATAACATTTTATCGCTTTTCTTGCAACGTAGCGTAAACTGGAGGGTAACAGTTCACGAGAAGCGAGGAGGAAGTGCAACGATTAACACGCGTTCGAAAGTGAACTGTATAACTGATCGCGCAAACAAATCCGCGGCTCGGCCGCGTGGCGAGCCGTGACATTGGACTTTTCGTGCGGAATCTGTTTACACGAGTGCCCCGTCGGCCCGATCGCGAGTGCGACGCAAAAATTGCCCCTCCGTGGGATCCCCGCCGACCTTGACGGCCCGGTCCCATCGATCACCGTCGACATCTGGATCGATCCAGAATCGCACGAGTTCGTAAACAATCGCGTCCAGTCGCTCGTCTTCGATCATCGGCGCTGTGGATCTCGGCGAAGTGTCGCGAAGGAGGGATAAAAAATTAAATCGTCGATCTTCCAAAACGATCGCTAAAAAGAGTATTGTCTCGGCCGTGACGCGTGGAATCCAGACCGTGGCAAGGTAAAAATACCCGCGACCTGACCCAAGATGCGTTAAATAATCAACGTTGCGATACTGGAAGCACCGTGAGAGACAGGAGCAGGAGGGGTGGTGGGCGGGCTGGCGCCAAGGGGCTCGCCGATCGATTTGGGCTCTCGAAGAGGATACACGTTTTGCAACGTAGGGATCGTAGTTTTTGCGTTGCAGTCACGTGCCAAGAAGCGTAGTTTCTGCGTCGAGTGGTGGGGCACGTCGGAGCCGTATCGATAAGAGGAAAGAAGGGGGACAGAGCGTAGGGACTTTTCCTGGAGCGGTCGCTGGCGTCTCGACGTCCGTTGTGGGTGAATCGATTTCACCGTGCCGGCCACCCCCGTTGCAATCACCCCCCGTTGCCGCAGTGCAATGACCTCCAAACCGGGAAGGTCCTACAACGTGAGGTAAGAGGATCGCGGTAGAGAAAAGGGGGAATATAAAGATGCGCCGCGGAGGAACGGACCGGAGAAAATAGCCGCGTCCCTTCGCCATACGTCCCGACGTCTACGACTTTCGCTCGACGTTTTTCTCTATTTCACTTCCGGCCGCGTCTTTCCGTGGCTGGATTTTAAACGGGACGCCGGTCTAAAGTTGAACGCCGGCTTAAGGGGTTACGACAGGGTGACGGAGCCGAGGAATCTAGGTAGCGTTTGGAAATTCGTTTCGATGGCGTTATTTTATCCACCGGGGGTTTATCGATTACTCGAAATATGCGTGCATTGTGATTACGACGGCGGCGTCGCGAAGGATTATATTTTTTTTTTTCGAGCTGTTACGAAACGACCAACGATACGAGGATGCTACTTTTACATTTGTGCAGTTTCTGTTGGAACATGGGCATGTTAATAATTAATCTTCTCTTGTTAGTTTGTAATTATTTTATCGGGTATACAAGTTAGGTTTTAATGTTAGTACGTAGAGAGTATGTCAGTTTTATATTTATACAGTTTCTGTTAGAACATGGGTATGTTAATAATTAATTAGTTTTCTACAAAAATGCGAGCTATAATGAAAGCAGAAAGTAGTTGATTAAAGGCAACATGGATACAATTTGTGAAAAGTGTTTTATAAAATACCAGTAGATCCTGAGATCTGGCTAGCTGATAAAACACTGCTGAAATTTATTCACGATTAATGAATAATTCAATGAACAAGATGCATTGCAAAATCTGTAGCAAAGTGGTACACTATACATAGGTGAAACAAAGGTGGTATCAACTGTTTGGAAGAATGTTATCAGAGGTAGCACTGCATTTAGAAATATGTATAGTTGAACTTGTCAGTACTTACAAAAGGTTCATAAATTTTAAACTTCTTCGGGAAACTAAAATTCGTACGTTTCAAAAAAATGTGTTCCTTCGAAAATTTCTTTACCAGTATATCATCGACTAGTTTTAAATAGACGAAGAGTAGAATCGCCGGAATAACGATTTATTCCTTTCCTGTCAGTTCCAGGCGCAGTGGCTCCACGCGACGAGTCATCGTTTTCGCAGAAGTTAATATTTTTTACCGAGATTTGGTAGATTCGTAGATCGATATCGACACTCTTAGGTAGCGTATGAACATTTGGTAAAATTACATCAGCCGTCCAGGGATAAAATTTCCAAATGTTACTATGCTTCTTACCCCCGTTGCTCTGTCGTAACTCCTTAAAGCTAAAGTCGCGATCGGCCCGGCATGCTCGTGCACGCGAGACCACGTGAAATTTACGATGTGTCGTTTATGGGGAAACGATCGTTTCGTTTCTTGTCTCCGTTTTCGTTTTTGCCGGGCCAGCGACCAACGCTCGCCTGTCTCGCTGCTGCGGTAAGGGATGAGGGACCACGCGGTGAAATAAAGATGACTGGGATGCTCAAAGCTCGCTTTCGAACGCCATTCGATTCCCGTTCGATGGTATTGAAAAGTATAGAAACGAGCAGACGGGTAAACACGGAATGTTTGCGTTGGTATGAATCGATGCTGCTGCAAACGTTCGGTACTCGTCGAGAAAGGGTGGTTGACAGAAGTTACAGAGAGATTGCGTTCCGCAAAGTCCTATGTTTTGCTTACTCTTTTTGTAACAGTGTACATTTCGGCATCCCCTTCTGAATTTCATTTGTTCCTGCAACTCCCGCTGAATGTCGAGAAATTCCTTCTTTTCAATTTTCTTGCTAATCCAGAAATTTTCTTTAGCTTCGATTCTTAAGGTACTTTGTTAATTCAGTCGAGCATTTTTGTAACGCGATCGAATTTACTCCAAGCTTTGCTCTATACTTCCTACAATTGAAATTTTTATTTTTATTTCGAGAACGAGGAATAAACAATTTTTTATTCGTTATTTGAATGTTATAATATATAACATTTTTATAATATTTCTTATGGCCCACAATCTTCTTTACATATTTCGCGTGTGACCCCCGGGAGCAATATTGCGTGGCTCACTAGGGGGTCGTATAGCCCCCCCGTCGAGATTAGCAAGCAGAACCGCCGAAATAGCGAAACGAGCTGGACAAAATCGATTCCTTTTGCAGAAACAAATTGGAAACGCAGAATAAAATTTACGAAATGGTCCGCCAATGACACTATTCGACGTAAGATAGTTGTTTATGTTCAAAATATATAAACAATTTGACAGACGTCGAACGTTTCGTTGGAAGCTTTATTCTATAAAACTGTTCTCTCGTTTTTATTCGTTCCCCCTCGCAATATTAAATTATTCGCAATAATAGTTTCCTCAAAAAGCTACAATTACTAGAAATCCAAGTGCATCGTTAAAAACTTGGAAAATACATGTTGGAAACAGGAACATATAATTTTTTTCATTAAAGGACCATTATAGTTTCCGAAGCAATTTACTATATAATTACGAATACGTAAAACGACAAAATCGATCGTCGTTTTTAGTTTCTCGTCCTTGCAGTCGAGCAATTTGCGTTCAATCTTCGGTGCCCGTAATCACCGTAGGTGAAATTGCAAAGAGTCTTCGGGTACATTTTTACTAAATTTAGGATCCAAGCTGGAAAATATTAATTTCCGTAACGAAACAGAATTCACGTCCTTGGATTGTTGGTTTCGTTCGCGGAAATTAATTGCCGTGCACGCGAATAGCATCGCGGGGAGGGGTTCTTTTTTTTAATTTACTCGCGAATTAACTAGACAGCGAATGCAGCCGCGGGGAAACGCAGCGGAGTGACTGGCAGATAATTATTATTTCTCTCTGAAAGGGCCTTTCATGCGCGCGCGCCGACATCTTCGCAGCAGCGAGATTATTCCCCCGACCGCGAGGTATTTCCGACCGAGTATACGCAAAACTATGTCCGATAAGTAATTTCTCAACGAGATGTTACTCGATCGGACGCGCCGGCCGGAACAATAACCCTTCTGTGCCGGTATTTTAACGTCGAGAACCTTGCACGATGTCCCAGAATTACAGAGAACGTCGAAAGATCGATCTGGTTGCGAGTAATTCGTTCGTTCGAAGCTTAATATACGAAGACATATCAAATAAAGGTATGTGATTTTTCGAATTACCAAATTCTAAGTCTTCGAGAACACACTTTATCGCAATGAACACTAAAAACCATTTGAGTTGCAACAAGCTTCGATTAGAGTTCCATCCACGTGAGTATATTCTCCAAGAAAGGAGAATATTTTCATTCCGAATATCCATTGCATCGAAGTTCCTTTGATGGATGTGGAATAATGAAAAGCTCGTGTGTGCTCCGGACAAAAAAAAAAGTCTCCCAACTTATTTCACAATTTCCGTTCTTTTTCTATGGCGCGTCCGGTACTTTCACCAGGCTTCGTTTTGAAGAATCGTTACGGATAGTCGGCAGAGGTTGGGTGTCTTTTCTCTCTTTTTCGGATTCCCACTTAATTTCTCGGAGTGTTTCCGGTTCTAGATGTTCCCAGTGACTCGGCGCGACGCGGCATTGGGGCAAAACCGGGGGGGGGGAAAAAAAAACATTGTTTCTTGTTACTAGAGCGTTACGAGACCAAATCGAAAGGTTTACGACAATCGTGCCGGAGCTCGTCGCTCCGCAAGAAGCTTCGTTAGAATTCGCTTGTCTTCTTAGCACGCCGGTCGCGTATTCGTGTCTTTCTATCGAGCGTGAATTCTTACGTGGTATCACCTACTTTCCGAGACCTTCGCTGCCAGGCTTACGTCGATTACATTGTGACCGTAAACAACTTCTTTCCGTCCCCTGTTTTACCCCTTTTACGCGAGACCACGATTCGATTTCACGGCACGGGACAAGTTCGCGAACGTTTTCGCGTATCGTGACCTATCCTTCAAGCGATTTAAGAGCTTCGTGAACCTATTTTGGTACGATTTTAACATTTACGGTAAATTATATGATGCACCAAATATCTGAGATATTCGAACTATGGAAATCGGTTCAAATATGTAGAGTAACGACGGGTTGTAAGCTTGACATATTTGGCAGCTCCGCAGACGTGCAGTAAATTACATATTTGAGGAGGAACAAACACGCGAGGCGACCTGCCAGAAATGTAATACCTAATTCGGGATAAAAATGAGGCGGTTGCACAAGATGATACGAGACCGAACGCAATGTTTTCTACGCGTTCCCCTTTCGAAATAATAAATATAAAATTTTGTATGTATGCTGGTATGAATTATTTTAAGCCTACAAATTTTATTTATCCATCTGTTTTATTGCTCGTGTCGGTAAACAATTTCTATACGCAAGAGTTGCCGGTTTCTCACGGGTCAAGGTATTTCAAAGGCTGGTGGAAATAAGATTTTCAAAACGTTTCTGGCCGGCATGACGAGCTAACAATGAGCTTATTGATAGACGCTCTTACTTATATTGCCATAACTACGTCCCATATTCAAAGGCAATCTCCTGGAAGAGAAAGGTGCGGCATGGGAATGGTAACTCGCATATCATGCACTCACGATTCCCTTTCTATTATTTATTCATTGCTGGCAGCCCCGGCGGTATCGATCTCCTCGAACCATTCATCCTAATTAAACAGAGTTCCTCGAGACAAAAGGTATTTACGATTTAAAACGCCTTTATATGCATCGTTGTGCCGATTGATAAAATTCATTTCACCGATAGATTAACCGTGCCGAGAATTAATTAAAAGCGAGGCATTTGGGAACGAGTTCTTAATATGCAAAATATATGCTCCAGGTTAATACGCGAACGATCCCACTTAAAATTCACGAGTACGTTTTCATAGACATTTAAATGGACTCGTTTTCTCCGTAACGGATGGTCCTTAATCCCAATTATACGCGTTTATCAGTTTTAAAAAAGGACCCGCAAATGTACTCGTACTCGAAAAGTTTCGTCGGTCGTATCAGCTTCCTTTACCGGCCCCGATTATTTCCCTATAATCGTTTATGGCATCCCGAGATACCGGCGATAAACGCTGGTAATACCGTTTATCA